GTCTCAAAAAAAAAAAGAAAGACTAATGCATGGGCTCTGTGCTGGTTCGTACCAGCCGGGCCTGCTGAAGAACAGTAACTACAACAGAAAATTAGCTGAGTGCTGGTGGATGGTGCCTGTAGTCCCAGCTACTTGGGAGGCTGAGAGGAGAGAATCGCTTGAGCATCAAGAGTTTGAGGTTGCTGTGAGCTGTGATGCCACAGCACTCTACTGATGGTGACATAATGAGTCTCTGTCTCAAAAAAAAAAAAGAAAGAAAGAAAAACTAATGCATGTATGGCAAATTAATGAATAAAAGCAAACCATCACAGAAAACTGTGAGAAGTGACAAGTGAGGATGGCACTGCCTGGAGAATCCCTGCTAAGTAGGACCAGCAGGAGAATGGCACACTGGATGACAGTTATAATGTCCACTTCACAAGATTCTCATGAGTATTAAATGAATTTACATGTGAGAAACCTCTAGAACAGTTCCTGGTATCTAACACTATGTAACTGTTACAATTATGGTAACTGAACTCTAACTCCAAAACCCTGGAGTTTGTGTATACCATGGAAAATTATTCAGCCATAAAAAAGATTAAGACCCTATGACTTTTGTGTTAACCTACGGAGTTGGAGAACATTCTTCTTAGTAAAGTGTCACAAGAATGGAAAAGCAAGTATCCATTGTACTCAATACTATTATGAAAACTAGTCTGTGAACAAATACATGCCCACTCAAGAGAAAAACACAAATTCAAGTGAGGTGGAGGGAGGAGGAAAGAAGAGGGGGAAAGAAGGAGGGAGAGAGTTTGGTATGCTCTCACCTAACAGACACAATGTGAGGGTATATGGCACACCTCCTAGGTGAGGGGCACAACTACAACTTGGACTTTACCTAACAAATGCACATAATGTAACCTAATCATCTGTACCTTCATGTTGATCTGAAATAAAACAAAAACAAAAACTCTGGGTTTGTGGGCCAGGTGTGGTGGCTCATGCCTCTTTTCCTAGCACCCTGGGACTCACCCTGATGTGAGTGGACCGCCTGAACTCACAGGTTTGACACCAGCCTGAGCCAGAGCGAGACCTGTCTCTAAAAAATAGCCGGGTGTTGTGACTTGTGCTTGTAGTCCCAGCTACTTGGGAGGCTGAGGCAAGAGAATCACTTAAGCCCAAGAGTTTGAGGTTGCTGTGAGTTGTGATGCCATGGCACTCTACCGAAGGTGACAAAATGAAACTCTGTCTCCAAACAAACAAACTCTGGGTTTGAGTCCTAGCTTTTCTAATTACTGTGAATGCTTGGACACTGTCACTCACCTCTTTTAGTCTCCTCCCAACCTGAAACTGAAGATAGTAAAGCTGCCTTTACTGAGTGGCTAAATGAGGACATATCAGAGAGGGCTTTGAAAAAGATCGTTGTACGAATGGATGGTATTATAGCCCCTCCCAGCCTTTAATAAAAACTTGAAAGCTAATATCAGAAATTGTCTATGTTTTAGGCATTGTGCTTACTTACACACATCATCCCTCCAATCTTCCAAACAACTTTTAAGAGGTTAAGTACTGTTATTATCCCCATTTTACAAAAAAAGCTTTCAGAAGCACGAAGCCTGTGATTTCCTCAAAAATCACACAGTGAGCGAGTGGTATAGCAAATAATACATGATTCCACAGCTCAGGTTCTTGAGGATTATAGACGTGGCCGAACCTGTTGGCTGCCGGGTAAATGGCTGGCCTATCACCGTCCGGAATTTAGGGATAGAGGGGAACACCGAGTATTCAAGAAAACTTTCCACTTAAGGCGGGAAGAGATTGTCGGTAATGAACGACTTACAGTAACAGGAAGAAATAACGGTACTTTTATTCTTTTATTAAAGAAAATGTTTTGGGGGAGTGCCACCTGGGTGCCAAGCACTTATGTCAGCTAGAGGATGACAACTCAGAACCCAGTGTGTCCCTTGACAGGTTTTCCTACGCTTTCCCTATTCTTTATCTTACTTTTGCCCCTATGAGTTTTTGCTAATTTCTCCACCTCCTGGCTTGTGCCCAAGGCCGTTAGGCCTTAGTGAGTCTCTCTCTCTCTTCCTGGCTGTCTTTTTCCCGGGCTGCCGGTGAGCAGGAATACCCGGGCGAGACCCCGCAAAGCCACGCTTTGCTGAGGTCTGTACCGCGGTGAGTACTGGCCGCGCGCGGGGGGCGTAACTGCCACACCTCCTACCCTCTCCAGCTGGCTTCCTCACAATGTCGGCCGGCGCCCCGCCCATCTTTTGCGTCAGGAGGAAGAGAATCCTTTAAACTACAACTCCCAGAAGGCTGAGCGGTCACGCGAGCGCTCCCTCCCCTTGCTGTTCCGGCGTAATTACACTTCGCAGGGGGCGTCGCGCGACTGCGTCTCTTTCCACTGCGCAAGTGCGGAACTACATTTGTTTCCGACGCGGGTCTGGGCGAGTGTGGCGTCTGGTTGTGCTTAAGGAGTTTCCAGTGAGGGCTTTCGAATTTATCGATTGAGCTCGTGGCTGTGCAGGTGAGATACCCTCAGGAATGCAACTGCTTCTTCCATGGGGCTTGGGCAGATTTCGGTGAGATTCTGGAGAGGCTGGGACAAATACTGTATCTAGAGCCACGGTCCAGGATAAGAAGTAGTTTTTACAGTTTCCTTGGTGTTTTCTAGTTACAAAGTGCTTTTTGCCTGCCACAATTCCCATGAATCCACAGAACTACGCGGTAAGGAATTGTAAGTTAACGTTTGAGGGAAAAGCTCAGAGACGTTCAGTGAAACACTAGTAGTAGTTGCGGAGCCGGGCCTTACGCCGTTTTCTCAGTCCAGACCCGGTGTCTTCTGCTTTATATGCGGGGACGTAGTTTCTCGTTGACTAAGAGAATTGGGGAGTGGGCCTTTGTTGCTTTCTCAAGTCTAGCCTTTCACTAGTTTAGTGAAGGGAGAGATGAAGATGATACAATCAAGTCTTCTGTCAGCCTGTATAGTTTTACTTTTATGCTTGAGTCATTTATTCACTAAATGTATTTATTGAGGTGCCTGCAGTTTGTCGAGCCCTCTTCTTAGTGATACATTGATACTTATAAATGTCGAGCCCTCTTCTTAGTGATACATTGATACTTATAAATACAGTAACAAACAAAAATACCCAACCCTTAGCCGGGCGCAGTGGCTCATGCTTTAATTCTAGTAGCATTAGGATTAGGCAGAGGTGGGTGTATTACCTGAGCTTGAGACCAGCCTGAGCCAGAGCGAGACCTTGTCTCGAAAAATAGCCAGGCATTGTGGCGGGCGCCTGTAGTCCCAGCTACTTGGGAGGCTGAGGCAAGAGAATCGCTTGAGCCCATGAATTTGAGGTTGTGAGCTCTGACGCCATTGCACTCTAGTGAGGGCGACAAACCTTGACTCCGTCTCAAAAAACCCTTACGTTCTAAAGTGTGGATGGTGGGGACAGACAGTAATAAATATATATAGTAGAACCTCCATAGTTGACCACCTCCCTACATTGGCCACCTCCTTAAATTGACTTAATTTTCATAGACTGGACATGTACCACATGTGCATATCACTACAGCAGGCCTAGTTCCTTATGACCACGTTTGTATATTAGCCAGTTTGTTACACTCCCTTGGGTGGTCAACAAACAGGTTCTACTATATAGTGAAACAGACAGTGGTGAAAAATATAGAGAAAATTAAAGCAGGCTAAGGGGAAACATTCATTGGAGAGTTTTGGACAAAGGTCTGACTTATGATTAGATCTGATATTTGTGTTCTAGGCACAACATCTGCACAGATAAGATGGGAGAGGAGGCCAGTGATGACAAGAAGCCAACAACTAAATTTGAACTAGAGCGAGAAACAGAACTTCGCTTTGAGGTGGAGGCATCTCAGTCAGTTCAGTTGGAGTTGCTGGCTGGCATGGCAGAGATCTTTGGCACAGAGCTGACCCGAAACAAGAAATTCACTTTTGATGCTGGTGCCAAGGTGGCTGTTTTCACTTGGCATGGTTGTTCTCTGCAACTGAGTGGCCGCACCGAGGTGGCTTATGTCTCGAAAGACACTCCTATGTTGCTTTACCTCAACACTCACACAGCCTTGGAGCAGATGAGGAGGCAGGCAGAAAAGGAAGAAGAGCGAGGCCCCCGAGTGATGGTAGTGGGCCCCACTGATGTGGGCAAGTCCACAGTGTGTCGCTTACTGCTCAACTATGCAGTGCGTTTGGGCCGTCGTCCCACTTATGTGGAGCTAGATGTGGGCCAGGGCTCCGTGTCCATCCCTGGGACCATGGGGGCCCTCTACATTGAGCGGCCAGCAGATGTGGAAGAGGGTTTTTCCATCCAGGCCCCTCTGGTGTATCATTTTGGTTCCACCACTCCGGGTACCAACATCAAGCTTTATAATAAGGTCAGCTAGAACCAAGGGGGGATGGAGGGAAGGGCTGCTGTCAGAATAGGAAGTTGTGGGGAAGTTTACTAGTTAAAAGTACATGCTTTGCTCTTTATCAGCTGGTATTTCTGCCACATAATTTTTGAAAACACAGTTTCAAGTATAAGTCAGGCTTGGACTTTTAAACATTTCTATAGGTCTATCCTTAGTAATTTATCTAATATCTACTTAGGACATAAAACAGGAGGCAGAGGCAGCAACAGAAGATAAAAGATAGGAAATTCTGGGCAGCACCTGTGACTCAATGGGTAGGGTGCCGGCCCTATATACCGAGGGTGGCGGGTTCGAACCCAGCCCTGGCCAAACTGCAACAACAAAAAAATAGCCAGGTGTTGTGGTGGGCGCCTGTAGTCCCAAGCTACTCGGGAGGCTGAGGCAAGAGAATCGTTTAAGCCCAGGAGTTGGAGGTTGCTGTGAGCTGTGATGCCACAGCGCTCTACCGAGGGTGACAAACTGAGACTCTCTTAAAAAAAACAAAAACTCAATTCATATTATGGGGTCAAAACCACAGCCATTAAAAATGTTAATTTTCTCGTATTTAATACTACTTATTCTTTTTTTTTTTTTTTCTTTTAAGACAGAGCCTCAAGCTATTGCCCTGGGTAGAGTGCCATGGTGTCACAGCTCATAGCAACGTCAAACTCCTGGGCTTAAGCAATTCTCTTGCCTCAGCCTTCCGAGTAGCTGGGACTACAGGCACCTACCACAATGCCCGGCTGTTTTTTGGTTGTAGTTGTCATTGTTTGGCAGACCTGGGCCAGATTTGAACCTGCCAACTCTGGTGTGTGGCTGGCACCTTAGCTGCTTGAGCTACAGGTGCCACCAATACCACTTATTCTTAAGAGGGGCAAAATATCTTTGGCATTTGTTTTTTGTTGTTGTTGTGCTCACCTTGATCCTTTCTTTTGCAGATTACATCCCGTTTAGCAGATGTGTTCAACCAGAGGTGTGAGGTGAACAGGAGGGCATCTGTGAGTGGCTGTGTCATTAACACCTGTGGTTGGGTCAAGGGATCTGGTTACCAGGCCCTGGTGCATGCAGCTTCAGCTTTTGAGGTAGATGTCGTTGTGGTTCTGGATCAAGAACGACTGTACAATGAACTAAAGCGGGACCTGCCTCATTTTGTACGCACTGTGTTGCTCCCTAAATCAGGGGGTGTGGTAGAGCGCTCCAAGGACTTCCGGCGGGAATGCAGGGATGAACGCATCCGTGAGTATTTCTATGGATTCCGAGGCTGTTTCTATCCCCATGCCTTCAATGTCAAATTTTCAGATGTGAAAATCTACAAAGTTGGGGCACCCACTATCCCAGACTCTTGCTTGCCTTTGGGCATGTCTCAGGAGGACAATCAGCTCAAGCTAGTACCTGTCACCCCTGGCCGAGATATGGTGCACCATCTATTGAGTGTTAGTACTGCTGAGGGTACAGAGGAAAACCTTTCTGAGACAAGTGTGGCTGGCTTCATTGTGGTGACGAGTGTGGACCTGGAGCACCAGGTGTTTACTGTCCTATCTCCAGCCCCCCGCCCACTGCCTAAGAACTTCCTTCTCATCATGGATATCCGGTTCATGGATCTTAAGTAGATATCTGCAGGAAGCCTTGCTGCCTGGGGCATCACAACCTCTGGCCCTCACTAAAGGCAGATGGACTGATAATATGAGAATATGTTGATTCCAGCTGACCAGAAAACTGTGGACTAGCGGAAAACATACATATACACACCTCTAAAAATGATTTTTCTAACCTTGATCAAAAAGAAAAAACATGAGACTATAATTGGTTTTTTAGATTACCTAAGATGCCATTTTGAATTCCATTTCTTTCACTGTGCTACTATGTGGGTTTTTAAAATCACTACTTCATATTCCATATGTAGTACTTGGTATCTCATTTATCCAGGGTAAAAATGTGATTTAAAAGAGCTCCTTCCAATAAAGTTCAAACTTGAAAAAAATTATTTTAATAAATGTTTTTGCCGTTATCATAGAAGTTGG